ATATCAATTTTCTTTTTTATTTACGATCAACATCCTGCGATCATACATGAATCTATAACGCACATAATGATATTAATTAATATTGTATTCTCCTGAAACCATTAAATATAGTAGTAATAAGAACCTCATTGAAAAAAAAACCAATAATATAATAATATTTATAAGTAAAGAAAAATAAAAGAATATACTTTTAAGTATGTCGAATTAATAAATCAAGGAAATGAAGATTGTCAGAAGCTTGCATTAAAAAATATAATAATGAAAATATAAAGTTGGTAATAATAATAATAATATATAATACAAGTTTTTTGTTCTTTACCATCAAAACCTTTATCCGATATAAATAATTCACTATCTAGCAATTTTACCGTATACTACACCACCACCACCACTTATATTTCTGCTATTCCTTTCTCCTCTTCTTCTATTTTTACTACCAATCAAAATCAATTAATGACAGTTGATGATTTAACTCGAATTCTCAGAGATATAAAGGTTAGGAAACAAGTGCGTCATAATAATGTTGAATTTTAATCATATGCAATTTTTATGTTGTTTATGATGAAACAATTATTTATATAGAACATTTTTACAAAATAGAAGCACAATTCATTAATAATTTAGCTCTAATTAAAACTTTTTATTAATGGTACAAGGTGATGTGTATGCTGTATATGATAGTGTTTGAATTAGGTGGCGATGGATTGTTTGAAAAAACGAAATCAAGTGATTCCGACTTTTGTTATTGGATGAAGCTAATAATCAACATAGGTAAATATTTTTTTAAGTATTTGTGTTGGAATTATTAAACCAAATGGATGTATTGATCCTTTATTCGAATGCTATTTTGGAAAGCATTAATAGGATTGATATCATTCAATAGAGTCAATGTTGCATACTGCTTACGATATTTCTTGAAAATAAATCTTGTCAAATACCATTTTTTCCATTGAAATTTATGAACAATTATTGTCTTTTTTGAGCTCTATAATGATTTCATTAAATCCTCTTCCTCTCTCTATTACATCAACGTTATCACCAATGTTACCATCAACGTGTATCATCAACACATTACCATAAACGTTTATCACCAATGTTATCATCAACGTGTATCATCAACACATTACCATAAACGTTATCATCAACGTTATTGTCAACATATATCATCAACATTATCATTAACATGTATATCAACACGTTATCATCAACGTTATTGTCAACGTGTATCATCAACATTATCATTAACTTGTATCATCAACACATTATCATCAACATTATCATCAACGTGTATCATCATCAACACGTTATCGTCAACGTTATCATCAACGTTATTGTCAACATGTATTATAAACACGTTATCATCAACGCTATCATCAACACGCTATCATCAACATTATCATCAACACGTTATCATTAACGTTATCATCAACACGTTATCATTAACGTTATCATCAACACGTTATCATCAACACATTATCATCAACATTATCATCAACGCTATTGTCAACGTGTATCATCAACACATTATCGTCAACGTTATCATCAACGCTATTGTCAACGTTATCATCAACATGTTATCATCAACACGTTATCATCAACGTTATCACCAACGTTATCATCTTGCACTCATACAATATTGTAGAAAATTATACTAATAAGGATTTATTATGGTGAGATCTAATTTCATATTTGTTTTTCATAACTGAATT